AGAGGGACTGAAAGGCAAATGGAGATTATGATGCATTCATTCATTGTTGGTCTCTGAAAGTAGAAGAGGCAAAGGGGGGGAAGCGTTGGTGGTAAAACCTTGATTTTTACACGTCATTTGAAAAGAAAGTCCGCCTGTTAAAGCCAAATATCTGTTAAAACTGAACGTTTGAAATGTATATTTTATATAAAATATTTATGGAAAAATTAGCATAGTAGTGGAAAGTGTACCCTGAACTGATTCCAGAGCATGATTATCCTGAATTCAAATTTTGTTTGTAGCTTCCGGAGTCTGCTGAATGGAGGTTTTTAAAATCAAGGTTTTACTGTAAAAGATCTGATGGATTCGTGCAAGAAAGTAAAGGTCTGAGTTTAATCCTGAGTGATTAAAGTCTGGGATTTGGGTCCCTCAAAAGAGACGAGAAGATGAAGGAACAAAATGCCGGGGACGGGTGGCCTCTGAATGTGGGGCGAGCGGGGCCCATTTGCAAGGGTGGGACAGTCTGGCCCAGAGGCTCTCTTCGTTTGTGATTCAGATAATTTGTTTATTAAGAGATCGACGGTTTCTTTTGCATGCTCAGGATAATGTCGTTTTGCATGTCATTCTTCTAGGGTGTCATTTCTAAATCCATTTCCAAATCTCTCTCTGTCGTGTCAGATCCTACTTGTTTCTCTTGCAAGGCACCTTTTCAGCACAGTCTGTCCATAGAGGCAAGCCCTTCTGGGTCCCTGGTCCAGAAATTTCCTTCAATATGTCCAGTGTTAAAAATATTTTGCTTTGTTCTGTGCCAGTAAGTTGAGTGTTCTCCTCCTTCAGTTGCAATCCTTTCCAGCTCCTGTTGTATATTCCCTTTAGCTCTGCTTCCTTTCCTTACCGGGTGTCTTTGACTTCGGTGGTTTACAGGGCTGTTGTTGTTTTTTTACTCCTTTTGAGTGTTTTCTAGAATTTTGGTTACTCCTGATAGGGATAACCAAGTTTGGTGCGTAATACTTGACATGCCGTAACAGGTGATGTATAAATATCTGAAGAACGTTTCTGAATTAAGCTGTTTTGAATGCGGGCTTGCAAAAAAGCATGACCCGAGTAACATAAAGAAGCGAAAAGCATCGGTCAGGGGCGGCAGGTGGCCAGGAAGGCCCACGAAAAGGATCCTGCCCTGCCCTGTGGGAGGTTTTGGAGGCCGTGCAGTTGCCTCCCCTGCCCTGGGAAGAAGACACCCGTTGTGGTTGTTGAGTTCGGTGTGGTTGTAAAAATCGCCTCTCTGTGCACATTGCAGAAATTCGGCTCCCAAGATGAAGACTCTTTTCCCTCGGAGCCCAGCAGCTTCCCTCAGGCTCCCGCTCAGGGCGCAGGGATGCCGGCTCCGGAGCTGGTGCACGTGTCCCAGAGGAGCCTCTCGCAGCTGGAGAGCGTCCGTGGCTTCGTTGGCCACTCGCACATTTCGCCAGCCAAGGTGAGAGCAAAGAAGCTGCGGGAACCAGTCGGAGCCCCAGAGGTGGCTGGTGGCCTGTTCGGGTCTGGCCAAAAGCCTTTGCCAGTTGGTGGGAGACTCTGGGCAGCTGCAGCCGCCGGGATCGTGGCCGGTGGGAAGCAGTGCTGGAGCCGCCTCACACCCAGGTCCCTGGTCTCCTACCTCCCCGAGCTTTGCTTTACCGTTAAAGCCTGAAGTTCTGATTTTTAAAAATTAATTGCCCATTTCCTAGTATAGACGGTCCTCAGCCTATGGCCATAACTGAGCCTGTAATTTCAGTTGTAAGTCATTGTGGTCATTAAGTGAGACCTGACTGCTTTGCTCTATGACCGCAATTTCGGCACTACGAAGCTGGACAGGCCGGCTGAGTGTGGGGTGAACGCAGGGAGGCCACGGAAAGGAGCCTCAGTGGCCCCGGCTGCACCCCGGCTGAGAAGCTCCCCATGCCCGAAAAGCTTCACCCAGGGCCTTGGGTGAAGCAGCCCCTCGGGAGTCCCCCGTCCGTCGGCCAAGGCCAGCCTCCCTCCTGGACGATGGGGAGGCCTTTAAAGCTGCTCCCATCCAGGCATTCCCCACACGACAGACCATGGCAGCTGGACTGCCCCTGCTGGGAGCTTCCCTGCCCTGGGGGCTTTCCTTAGGGGGCTGTGCCAGGGTTGGGTTCAGCCCCCCCAAGCATCATTGGGGGGGCAGGTGGAAAGGAAGGAGGGAGGGAGGGAAGGGAGAGGAGGGGGGCACCCCTCTCTCCTCCCAGCACCCAGGACTTTTAAAGGAGGCGGCGGGCTTTTGAAAAGGGGGGGGAGAGGTAAAGGTTGAGGGGAGGCATTGCCCTGAGTGGGAGGGAAGCTACCGGTGGGGGCCGTCCTCTGGGGGAAAGGCTGTATTTGGCTTTATGGTCGCCCTGGGGGGACACCTGCCTGATCCGGCCTTACACACACACACAGCCCCCAGGCTTGCTAGGAGGGGTGTGTGCCGTGTGCTCTGCCAGAAATGCCCCAGAGCAAGGCTGGGCTTTGGCTCCCTTTGTGGCGGGGGGGGGGAGAAGGGGCGGCATCTGCTTCCTTTGGAGCTTCCCGTGTGTTTACGGGCATCGAGGGGAGGGGGAGAGGCAGGAGGGGTCAGTTGCAGCGCAGCCGTGCAGTTGGCCGTAGGGGTGGGCACAGTGCCAAGCGCCCAGTTTTCATCATGCAACCACGTGGGGCACTGGGAGAGCCATAGCTTGAGACATGGGTCGTAAGTGTCTTTGTCAACAATTTTGAACGGTCTCTGAACGAACGATGATAAATCAAGGACTGGCTGTATCAGCAGAAGCATCCAGTCAATCTGCCAGGGTTAGTGGTGCAAAAGGCCGGACCTTAGAGGGCTTCCGGGAAATATGCAAAGTCCAGGCTTCCTTCTGGCTGTCATATGAAAATTGCATCGTCCCTCTTTCTTGGAATCGGGTGGGTATCGCAGAGTCTAAAATAATAAAATCATTCCTTTTCTCTGCCACGTTTGCAGGGCGGCTATTTAAACGAGGGACCTGGGCTCCCTTCCCACAGGGCTTCCTAAAACAGCCGCGGGAGCAAAGACCCTCCCAGGAGGGAAAAGTGGTGGGCGTCCAGGGAAAGAAAGAGGTGGGAGGCCCAGGGAAACGCGCAGGCCGAGGCTGGTTCCGGAGCGGCCTTCTGGTTCCAGAATAGCCACGTGCCCCCCCGGTTGGCGTCGGTGGGCCTTTGGCGGGGCAGGTGGAGCGGTGGGGCTTTGCAGAGGAGGCACCGAGAGGTTTTCACCTGCAAGTTCTGTCCATGCGTTTGGTGGGGATATGTGTGAACTTTTCAGAAGCTGACAGTTGAGTTGCCTGGAGGACGGCAGGGCAGAGCCGCAGAGAGGGAAATTTGGGGGAGCCGCTTCCCTGCCTCTCTTAAAGTCCTCCAAAGAACCTCCAGGGTCCCCCTTCGTAGGACGGCACGAGTCTGAGGCGTGGCAGAGACCAGCGCCGAGTCTGAAGTCGTGTCCTAATTTGAGACCCCTAAATACCCTCGAGGACGTAGCAGGGGGGTTTTGAGGACTTGACATAACAGAAGAAGATTATTTCATGGCCTTAAATGTCTTCTGATGCTCTCTGCCTGCCTCAGAAACGCTCCCGTCGAATTTCTCCATTTCAGAATATTGAGTTACTATAAAAAAAGCTGGACCTCTTGAATAAATCATAAATATGCAAAGCAGCCACCTGATAGTATTCAAATGACGGCCCCTGGGGGGCTGGTGGTGTGGCCCAAAGAAGCAGGCCCTCCCAGGCAGATTTAAGGGGGGCTGGAATAATATCCTGAATGAAGGTTACCCTTTTCCCCACTCGTCAGGGGCGGAGGGGGGGGGAAGCAGCCAGACGTGGACGAATGACTGAAGGGAAATGGGTGGCAAAGGGTGATGAACGGAGTGGGGTTTGTTTCCCCTCCTTCCATGCTCCCCCCCCCCCGGATACGGGGCGAGTCTCCCAGCACGGAGAACACGGCGGTTCTGGGGGGGAAAAAGTGGGATTCTGACCGGCCTGGCATTGATGGGGGGGGGGGAGACATCCTGAGAGCCCCTCGTAAACCCCATGAAAGAGATAATGGCAGCAGCCAAGGAGAGCCAGCAGGGACAGTCAGGGCAGTCCTGCTAGGTAGGCTTATTCATGGCTTATTCTTGTGACTGCAGCGGATCAGCCTTCAGGAATGGGCACCTGTCGTCCATCCGGTGTCTGTGCTTGTAAATAGCTTTCCCCCCCCCCCCCGTGGAGGGTGGCCGGGCCAGTCTCGGTTCCCCCCCCTGTGAGCCCCTGGGGCAGTGCCCAGGGAGGAGACGGAGGCTCCAGGTGGGCCTCCAGAGGGAGGGGAGCCGGGGACCAAGGACCAAGGAGCCGGCCCGCAGGAGCCCTCCTGTTGATGGTGGGGGGGAAAGGAAGGTCAGGGTGGCAGGCGAGGGGGGGGGCAGAAGCACGGCAGGACAGCCCCTCCTCGGGTGGGGGGGCATATCCTGGGGCCTGGCTCCACCAGGGTTTGGGTTGCTGAGGGGTCCCATAGGAGGGGTCGGATTGGGAGGGTTTCCCGCTGGATTTTCTTCATTGCTTGTGGAAGGACTGGATTTTTTTTTTTTTACCCTCCTGCTGAGACCCAGAAATCTACCCCACTCTGGGAGCCTTTCTCAGTAATCTTCCCTGGTCCTGATCCCGGAGGCAGTTCGGGTAGGATTAAGCCACAGAGCCCAGGAAACGGGGAGGATAATCCAAAAGTATCGCTCCAGCCATTGGACTCAGAACAATAGACCCCAGCGTCAGGAAAAGCCGCTTGCCAGGCAGAGCAGTTTGAGACTGTGGAACTACCGGCCCAGAGAGTCCTTAGGGCCCCCCTCTTTCCCCCCCCCCAATCTCTCCAGGGCATGTTGGATGTTCGGGCTTGAATCGGCTTTGCTTTCCGCTCTTCCAGGCTTTATGGGGCTCCGGCTCTTTATGGAAAGCAATCGCAAGGCTGGTCTCCGGCCAGAGTCCGCCCTGGGCTTTGTCCCACGCCTGTCTCACCGGTCAAGGTGGACTCGGCCTTCCACCCTTCCGAGGTCGGGAAAAGGAGGACCCAGGTTGTTGGGGGCAAATAATGCTGACTCTGTTAACCACTTAGACTGAGAAGGCCGTAAAGCACGGCAAGTCGGTGTATAAGTCTAAGTGCTATTGCGGTTGCCTTGCCTGCGCCCACCTCGGACTTTCACCAGCCAGATCGGGAGCAAAGGCCACGGAGAGCTTTGTGCATCCTGATCCCTTTAGAAAACACTCACAGCTCCCTGGGTCTCTCTTTGGGAATCCCAGATCTGTGTTCTTTCTGAAAATGTGGAACGTTCCTAAATACAGCTGTTCCACCAGCTGCAAAGCCACCGTCGGTCACACACCAAGGAATGGATGCTGCTTTTTCAGGCTTCCAGGGTTCTTCTCGGACGCTGTTCTGAATATCCTGCCAGGGGCTAATGGACTTTCTCGGGCACTTAGATTTTAAGATTTCACGTTGGTTACTTTATGTAAAAGCGTGACAAACCTTCCCTTCCGCCAGGCTTTTGGCCTGAGTTCTGGAAGTTTCCAACTTGAAGAATACAGGAAGGAGCTGCTGCATCCCAAGTCAGTCCTTTTGGGTGCCATGGCTGCCGAGCGACAGGAGAGAAAGACCTTGGAGGACTTCAGAGCGATTCTGAAAGCCGGCTGGGTGTCTTTGGGCCAGTCCTTTTCTCTCGGCCCAACTCGCCTCGCAGGGTTGTTGTTGAGGGAGGATTAGGGGGAGGAGGAAGGAGGATTAGGTGTGTTTGCCACCTTGAGTGGATTATAAAAGTAATAAAGGCAGGGGAGAAAGAAATAAAATGCCAGAAGTCATTGTGGATTTGTCAAGATTTTAGTCTTGCTACGTTGGCTTTATCAATTTTTGGGGGGTCTGGAATCTTCCTTTGTAGATTGTGGGAATTCTGAAGATAGCAAAGCTTTAAACATCCTTTATGTCATTCTGATTAAGCAACTGAGCCAAAATGGGGTGGACTTAGAAAGATGCTTGTCGGCTGGCACAGGAATATTGAGAGGATTGTACAGATTTGGTGCTGGGTTTTCGGCCCGTTCTGTGGGCGATTCAGTGAGACGGGCGGAGGGAACGCGTTCGCCCAGGGTAAAAATGCCCAGGCCTTGGCTGGGGCTCTTCGCAGAGGCTTCGCCCCACGTCCCAGGCAGGGAGGAGTCTTCAGTGCAGCGGTTCAGATATGGGGGAGAGTTTGCAATAAAAGGCAGTCCTCACTTACCGGCAACAATTGCGACCAGCGACTCTGTTACTAAGCTCCACGGTTGCCAAGCGAAAAAAATAACGTGATCACGCTGGACTTAAAACGACGTCACTTCCACTTCTGTTAAGCGAATTCCTGTGGTCATTAAGGAAGGTATCACACGGCCATAAGTGGTGATGTCATTTCTGCGTCCTCCGTTAATTCCGCTTGTTGGG